TTTTTTTATTATTTTTGACGTAGATATACATTATTTAACTTGTATGAAACCACTGACAATTTTGAAGCTCTCAATTAAATCTCCTCTTAACCTTCAAGGTTCTAGCATTGTAATATTAAACCTTTTTAATCGTGATTTATAGCTTAGATGTGAGAGGCTTCTTGTACAAGTTTCTTTTCTTTGAACTTTTCAAGAGCTGCTATATTGTATTTTTTTGATGGATTCCAGATTGGTTCTGCATTTTCGAGAAGCGATCAAACAAAGATTTTATACGATATTTCAGAATTGAAGTGGTGTAGAATTCAAATGTGTGATTAATTAAACCTAGCATTCTGTTAGCTATGTTGGCACAGTAATTGGTATGTTGGCTTTATTTTCCATCAGTAGATGTCATAATGTCTAGATCTTTTACTGAATCCAAAACTTCAATCAAAATTGTATTTTATGATCGTAGTCAAAGATAGTTCAAGTTTATATAATTTCTTTTTTGATTATACTTACCAAAATGCATTATTTTACATTTACTTATATTAGGTTTAATCTTCCATTCCTGATACCATTGAGCTATTTTATCTATATTATTTTGTAATTCGCTTCTTAGTATTTCAATTTCATCTAGCTCAGTAAGAGTTTTACTATTGTCGGGGTATATTTTTATTACGTGAAAAAGTTGACGAGGAAGGTCATTTATAAATATTGTGAATAAAAGGAATTTGAGTTTTGATCATTACTTCTGATTGGACTCCAGTCAGACTGTTTTTCACCAAATACAACTTGTTGTTGTCTGTTACTTAAGAAAGATTTTATCCATGTAGCAAATTTGTTATTAAAACTGTATTATTTAACTTTATGGATAATGTATTCATACGTGATACAGTGTCAAATACTTTTGTGAAATCAGTAAATGGGACGTTGACTGGATGTTTGTTATATAAAGCTGTACTAACGAAGTCTTGACATTCTAGAAAGTTTGTGAAACAGCTCTTTTTTTGCACAAACCATGTTGTTGCTATGTGATACTTTACACTGATTACTTTTTATTAAATGTTTCATCTAAATGTTTCATCATGGAGTCACGAATTATACTTTCCATTAATTTACTTATGAGTGATATTAGCCTGTAATTACTTGCAATAAGTCGACTTCCGCTTTTATGTAGTGTCATTACATTTACCTTGCTCCATTTTCTCTGTACATAAATTAAAACTTTTTATGAAAATTGTTTTTAGTGGAATGCAAAATGACATTGCACATAGAACGTATGGACTTACGCCATCAGTTCTGATCGATTTGTAAATATTTAACTTTTCTAGTTTTTGTAATATTGTGGTTTCATAAAAAAGAAGATCTGCATTATCGTTTGCTTGAGTTAAGGATCGGTTCTCAAATTCAAGAAGCTCATTATTTATATTATTTGTGAAGACTGTTGTGTTTGTTAAATATATTAGCTATTGTCGTTTTGTTGGTGATTAAATTTCTGTGTTTGTCTTGTATTGAATTGACACTCGATTTTAAATTTTGTTTCGATTTAACACACGAAAAGAAGTTTTTTATCTTATTTGTTAATGAAAATTCAAATCCTAATTTCTTATTCTTTATATGGTTTGATAATTTTTGCATATTTTTTGATATTCCTTTTTTTTTCAATTGCTGTGTTTGACATCTTTGATACTATTCAAAATTTGTACCATGAAGGATGTTTGTACTGAACAACTTTTTTTGTATATGAATCAAACCATTTTGGTCTGTTTATTTTTTGCTTGTTTGGTGTTTTAATAGAAATATATGATTGACATGCTTCTTCATATATGGATAAGAATGACTCATAACAAAGTTGAATACAATGGCAGGGTTTAAATAGTTGTGATCAATTAATTCTTAAGCATAATTGTGACGGTGGTTAGAGAAACAATGAAAAAATTGATTTTTTGATTCTTATATTTCCATATTATACTATGATATCCATGTGTAATGTTACCAAGCATTGGTCCTGAAAATATCTCTGATATTCGGTCTTTTTATAACATTCTTTGGAGTTTTTATAACATGTCTGGAAATTTATGTGTTGAATAAAATGATAATCATTAACAGAATTGATAAAATTTGATTCGCCTTCGAGACTGTTTGAATTGAATGGGTTACATTCTATGTCCCAGTTGGTAATATAAGGAATGGATGTTTCTGTAAACCATGTTTCTGTGATGAAAATAATGTTGACATAATGATGAAGGGTGATTGTTTGAAGCTCATGCATTTTATTGTTTAAGGATGTTGCATTGGTATTAATAACTGTTCAATGAAGTTTGAGCTGAGTAATAAGTTGATTTAGTTGATGAAGTTCTGTGTAATGGTGGCAAATTTAAATGTTTTTGAATTACTCATTGGTATTAGTTTGCCTCTCTTCAAGGTTAACTTTGATCAGTGAATCTCCTTTTAAAATGAATTAAAATTTGTTTTCTTCATTGGATCTTTTTAATTTATTATTTTTATCATTTCTCTCTGCAAAAAGATTTTTCCTATTGTTAGTTTTTTGTGTTTTTTTCTGATATATATATATATATATATATATATATATATATATATATATATATATATATATATATATATATATATATATATATATATATATATATATACATGTATATACATGTATATGTTTATCCCAATATATATATATATATATATATATATATATATATATATATATATATATATATATATATATATATATATATATATATATATATATATATATATATATCTGTGTGTGTGTGTGTGTGTGTGTGTGTGTGTGTGTGTGTGTGTGTGTGTGTAATGGTGGCAAATTTGAATGTTTTTGAATTACTCATTAGTATTAGTTTGCCTCACTTCAAGGTTAACTTTGATCAATGAATCTCCTTTTAAAATGAATTAAAATTTATTTTCTTCATTGGATCCTTTTAATTTATTATTTTTATCATTTCTCTCTGCAAAAAGTTTTTTCCTATTGTTAGTTTTTTGTGTTTTTTTCCGATATATATATATATATATATATATATATATATATATATATATATATATATATATATATATATATACATACAAGCCTTACCAGGAAAGGCGTGCAGTTTTTTGTTTCATATGACCACACGCGATTAGATTATTTTAGAAAACGTGAACACGGCTGTTTGCAAGTTTTATAATAACGCTGAAAAAGTTTCAAAAACAAAAAAAACAAAACCAACAAAATAAAGATATTGAAATAGAAAAAAATAAAAACAAATTAATAATTTAAATAATTTGTGTACTGTTTTTATTTTTGTTTCTTTGGAGTTACGTTCTGCGACAAAATTGGACGAGGCGGAGCAAAAAATAAACAAAACAAAAATAAATTTGAAGTCTACAATAAAAAGAATGATTTTCCTTTTCTTAATTTTTTTTTAAGAGGATAGTAAAAATAAAAATTGCAATGTGTTTGTAAAATTTATTTTTATAATTTTAATGTAGCAACAAGGATTGAATTAAGCGAATGCAAAACGCAAAATCTGGAAAAATATCTAGCATTAAAAATTTTAGTTTATACAAAACCGTGTTCCTTGTTTATAAGGGGAGAATCAACTTAAATTTGTTATCGAAAAAATACAAAATAAAACAATAAACTTACGATTACAAAAGTAAGAACATTCTAGTCACTAACTGCATTACAAAAGTAATAACACTATAATAGTGTTTTTACTTTTATAACACACTTATAACTTTTAAAATCCATTCTTTGTTCAAGCAACATTAGTATTCCCAAGTTTTAATTGAAGTAGAAAAATATCTAGAAGAATAAAGTGGATGTTCAAATAATATTAAAACTAAAGTAACTTATAAAATCGTGACAGACAACTTTATGAAAACGTGTCATAATAAAAGTTTAGCATTATGACAAACGTTACTAATAGACCGTAAAAACGCGCGTTAATTTAAAAATTAACCAATAAAAATTTTTTATTGGTTGATTTTAAAATTAACGCGCGTTTTTGCGTAACGTTTTTAATAATGCTATACTTTTTATAAAGTACTTTTTTATAACGTTGTTTAAGTGATCTGTGAAAGTTCCTGAAATTTTTAATAATATTTGAATATCCGCTTTATTTTTTCTAGATGCTTTTCTACTTTTAATAAATGTTTGGAATTAATAATGTTGTTTGAACAAAGAATGAACTTTAAAAGTAATAAGTGCTTTATAAATGTAATAACACTATTATAGTTTTATTACTTTTATAATGCAGTTAGTGACTAAAGTGTTATTACTTTTGTAGTCGTAAGTTTATTGTTTTTGTTTTGTTTTTTGTAACTTTGTTGCTAGAAAACTTTTAATAATTTGCTCCTTATAAACAAAGTACACAGCTTTGCATGAACTAAAATTTTAAAGACCTAATATTTTACCAGAGTTTGCAAACGCGATCGTATAATTTAACTCTTGATATAAACTTGTTAAATTATAATTATACAAATATATTTTACAAACAGATGACGATACATATTTTCTCTTTTCTCTTTAAACGAAAAAACGCATAAAATATAGGAAAGTCATACTTTTTAATGCCTAAAACCGTTTTTTTTTTTTTGCTTTGACTTAATGAATTTTGTTGCCGATAATAATAACCACTAAGAAAAAACAAAAATAAAAACAACAAACAAATTATTTAAACTATTATTATTGTTTTCTATTTAAGTTTACTTTAATTTCTTATGCAGTTATTAAATTTAAAACAATTTTTCAGTAACGCATATAATATAACTTGCGCAAACGGACGTGGTCACGTTCTCTAACTTGAAAAACGTTTTTGTGGTCGTACAAGAAAGAAAACCGCATGCCTTTCCTGGGAAGGCTTGACATGTATATACATGTATATGTTTATCCCAATATATATATAGCAGAAATATATATAAAATGTCAATTTATCATTATGTGGTATTAAAATAATAAATATATGTAAAAAAAGATATTTTTTTCTTTTTTTTTATTAAAGACAAGGTCCAAGAAAATATCCTCCTCATCTTGTTGAAGTTGAAGCAGTTCAGGTATTTTTATTTTAGTGATATGTTTAAGTATTCTGATAAATTTTTCTTGATTATCAAAATAATTTTATTATTAGGGAAAAACTGTTCGCATTTTTCATAAAGTTTATTTTCCTGATGACAGCAACAAAGTAAGTTACTGTTTTATGATGATAATGATGATAATGATGATAATGATGATAATGATGATGATGAATGATGATGATGATGATGATGATGATGATGATGATGATGATGATGATGATGATGATGATGATGATGATGATGATGATGATCATGATGATGATCATGATCATGATGATCATGATGATGATCATGATCATGATGATCATGATGATGATAATGATGATCAAGATAATGATGATGATATATAAAAATATTTTTTATGAACCTGAGTTAGAGTATTTTTTATTATACTGGGTTTGAGTATTTAGGATTTTTTTTTTCTTTCTCAATTTATATTTTAATGTAAATAAATGTTTTATCAAGATTTTCTTTGGTAGATTTTAATTCTTTCCAAGCATTCCTTTTTATACCTTCTAAAAATGCATTAATTTAAAAAAATACTTTTTCTTCTTTTTTTTTTTTTTTTGCATAAATGTAGTGCATTAAAAAAGTAATATCCTTAAATTTTTTTCTATTAAAAAGTTTTTGTTGTATTCTTCTTTTTCTTCTTTTTCGGAGTGTAATGACTTGTTTTTTTAAATATATCTAAACTTATATATCTTACTTAATTATATCTTATTTATATATCTTATTTACTTTAATTCTTAATTTTAAATCTTAAGTTTACTTTTTATATCTTAAGACTTTTAAGTTTACTTTTTTTTCCAGATTTAAACAATTTTATGAGTTTTTAGGTATCGAGTGATTTTTATTGTAATAAATGTTTTATAATAGTATACTTGTTTAAGAAAGATTCACTTGAATGAAAAAATGTGTTCTAAAAACTAGTAATGTAAAAGTGCTTGAATGAAAAAATGTGTTCTAAAAACTCGTAATGTAAAAGTGCTTGAATGAAAAAAAATGTGTTCTAAAAATTAGCAGTGTAAAAGTGCTTGAATGAAAAAATGTGTTCTAAAAACTAGTAATGTAAAAGTGCTTGAATGAAAAAAATGTGTTCTAAAAACTAGCAGTGTAAAAGTGCTTGAATGATATTTATAATGTGTTTTATAAACTATTGTTTTAAAAAAACAAATTACTAGTTCATCAAAAAAAATTGTTTTATCTATGAAATTTAATTGAATTATTGAAATTTGTAAAGGACTATAAGAGGAGTTGTGAATGGATGAAATGTTATTGAATGGATGAATACATTAAACTGTGCACACAAAATGTGAAACAGTTACTTTTGTTATTTGTTACTTTTTTTAGTTAAAATTACTAAATAAAAATTTCTGTATAGAAAAAAATATTGGCTAGCTAAGCTACAGAGATTAATTACTGATTTTTTTTTATTTTCAGTAAACGATTTATAAATATTTTTTACAAGCAAAAACAAAACAAAACAAGCTTTTTTTGTGTGTCTTTGTGTTTCTAATGAGAGTGAAATGCTTTTTTTTGCGTGTCTTTGTGTTTATAGTGTGAGTGAAATATTTTAGCTTTTTTTACAAAATTCTTATTGTTGATCATTTGAAAGTGATTAATCAACAAAAAAAAATTATTTATTAATGAAAATTTAAAATTATAACAAAGTCATTTAACTTTAAAGTTTTAAGATTTTAAATTTTATTTTTAGCCCTTTGAAGTTGAATCAAGTACACGTGCAAAAGACTTTTGTGAAATTATAGCAATGGCTTTAAATCTGCGTTCTGCAGACGGTTTCAGTTTGTTTGTTAAGATTGCTGATAAAGGTTATATTATATTTATCTAACTTTGTATCTTTCTTTGTTATTTCAAAATGGCATGCATGTTTTATGTTAACATTATTAATGTGCGTTATTTGTTATGAATATGTTATTTATCTAAATTTAGTTATTAGTGTTCCAGAATCTGATTTTTTCTTTGATTTTGTTCGCCATCTAATTGACTGGATAAAAAAAGCAAAACCAAGTCCAATGAGAGATGGTAAATATTTATAATCTGATTTTATTAATTGTGTATGTGTATGTGTGCATAAAAAAATTTAATTTGTGTGTGTATGTGTGCATAAAAAATTTAATTTGTGTGTGTGTATGTGTATGTATGCATAAAAAATTTATTCTGTGTGTGTGTGTGTATGTGTGCATAAAAAATTTAATTTGTGTGTGTATATGTGTGTATGTATGCATAAAAAAATACTTTTTCTTTGTAAAAAAATTTTTCAAATTTTTTTATAAATTTAAAAATTATTAGAATTAGTTGTAAGTTTTATTTTTTTTTAAGCAAGACTTGTTAAGTTAGGAACTAGTTTTTAAACAAGCCTAGTTAGGTTAGGAACTAATTTTAACTTAAATTAAAACTACTATGTATACATTATGTTGATAGGATCAACTCCATTAAACTTAAGTTATCAAGTATTTTTTATGAAAAAACTGTGGACAACTACAGTAATTGGCAAAGATACACGTGCTGATGAAATTTTTCATTATTATCAGGTTTGATAAGTTTTTTGTTTTTAAAAATGTTTTTGTTATGCATTAATTATATTTTTATTTATTTTTTAATTTTTATTTCATTTTTTAAAATACTTTTTGTAACTAGGAATTGCCAAAGTTACTTCGAGGGTACCACAAACTTTCTGTAGATGAAGCTATAGAGTTAGCTGCTTTACAATTTAAAGTACGTCATGGTGATGATGAAAAACAGTTTCAAAGTTTGACGTAAGTTCATTATGTAATAACATTCCTTAACATTTTTATTGTCATATCTTCTAATTTAATAAAATTTATATGTTAAAAGTTATTTTATTAAAAGAAACTTTTTAAACCTATCATAAAAATAACAATAAACTGTGCAGGCAATATAGGCAACAGACAATGATTAAGGTAGCAAGAATGCATCCCTAGTGTGATGCTAGGTGTTTTTTATCAGACTTGCTCAAGCATCATTTGTGAATATATTGTGAATAATTGCCCTGATGATAGAGTTTCATCTAATAGTATACTACTTAATTCTAATTGGATCACACTAAGATTTTTATTAATGTTTATAATGTTTTATTTAGGCATAATCTATCAAGCTTCATTCCACATGATATGTTATCTTCGGTTGAACCAGAACAAGTGTGGATTAAGGTATGTATCTACATGTATACACATATATGACAAAAGTTTGACAAAAATTGTTTGTAAAAAAAAAAAAGTTGTTTGAGTTGTTGACCAAACAACTTAAATAAAATTTTAATTAGAAATTTCTTTTAACTGTTAAAAAGTTCACAATGGCCAACACTTCCATTTGTTTTAATTATTTTTTATATTTATTTATTTTATTTTTATATTTGTTTATTTTATACACTAGTTAATTTTTTTTCATTAAAAGTTAGAATAACGATTATTTTTATTTTAAACCAAAGTTAATTTATGTATTACTTAATATGCGTGAATAAACTTGGTACCAACAGTCTTACTAACTTTTAATTTTAAATTATTTGTACCAATTTTGTACATACCAACAGTTTTACTAACATTTGATTGTAAATAATTAGTACCATGTTTTTGAAAATTATAAATACCTAAATATAAAAATAAATACTAAAATTATAAATACCTAAATTATAAATACCTTAATTTTTTACTTAACTATGATTTCCATCTGTTTCTATTATTTTTTTCATTTATTATTTTTTTAAAAGCATTTCTAAAGTTGAAGAACTATAAATTTTAAAATAATTTAGCTAAATTAATTTTTTATTTAAAAATTTTGACTGTTGAATTATTCTGCTCTACCATAAAATTAGCAGAAAGAAAGAATCTTAATAAAATATTTAAAAAGTAAAAGAAAGTAAAAACCTTTGTTTCTTTGCTAAATATCATGTTTAAAAAGTAGGGTGTAGTGCTTTATTTTAAAATTACAGTACTTTATTTTAAAACATGCTTCTTGTAATGAAATTTATCATAACCTTTTTCATGCAAAAACTTAAAAATACAATAATACTTTTTATACAGAAGAGTTATTCTTACATTTTCTACATTATCCTTCATTTTCTTACATTTTCTACATTATCCTTCATTTTCTTACATTTTCTACATTATCCTTCATTTTCTTACATTTTCTACATTATCCTTCATTTTCTTACATTTTCTACATTATCCTTTATTTTCTTACATTTTCTACATTATCCTTCATTTTCTTACATTTTCTACATTATCCTTCATTTTCTTACATTTTCTAAATTATTCTTCATTTTCTTACATTATCCTTCAGCTCCTGAATGTTCAACAAAGTTGCTAGTAGTAGGGGGTGTTCTAACTAAGTAGCTCAGTAATCAAGTAGCTGGTAAGAAGCATTATCAATATGTTGTTTTTAAAGTTGAAGAAAAATGTAAATGTCCTGTAAAAATAGAAGTAATTTAATATAGCTTTGCAAAAATTTTTAACAAAAAAAGACTTTTACGAAAGTTTTACGAAAGGCTTTGCTGAAATTTTTAAGAAAGCTTTACTGATGGCTTTACATAATAAAATCCTCAACTATTTTCCCATTAGTTTTTTGAAAGAAGACTTTTGATTAATTTAAATATTCATGCAATAATGCAACATACTGAGAAAAGTGCATTACAACAGAACCAGGTTATTCATCAAAGTTTATTTTTTGGAGAGTTTTTTTGAAAAGGCAACAATTAACATGAAATAAAAGTCAGGGGACTTTTGAATGAGCATTTTATTATGAATTGACCTTTTCAGGTTCAATTCATAATAAAATGCTCCCTGCATTATTATTATTGTTTTTATTATTGCTATTATTGTTAGAGTATAGAAGCCCAGTACCAACAATTACGTGATGTTGATAAAGAAGAATGCAAAGCACGTTTCTTAAGAATACTTGCAAAGAAACCTACTTTTGGTTCTGCTTTTTTTGAAGTCAAGGTAATGTATAACAACATAGTATTATTTTTATATTGATCCATCATACATAAATTATGCATGATGTGCATTATGGCATAAATTACAAAGGTTTGGAAATTTTGAGTCAAAAATAATCTGATAACACAAGGTGTATTTGTAATATATAAACAAGAAACAAAGAACTGTTACAAGGACAAATAAGAAAATGTTAACCATGACTTTATTAACTTTTAAATTTTTCTGATAAATTGTATGAGGCATCACAAATATTAGTGAGAATTTTAGAGGTTTTTTCTTTTCATTAGTATTACATTTGGATGATTTAATCTAGAGTTTTTGAGACTTTAACTTCTCCTTAGGTTCAATAAACACAAGTTTTGATAAATAATTTATTAGTCTATTTTATTATAATTTATTAGTCTTTTTAATAATAGGTTTTGGAATATTAACTTGGATATCTTTATGTTTAATCTTTATCACCTATTATAGTAGTTGTTAAAGTGTTACATTGGAGTTTGTATTGTATTGTTATAAATAATAAAAAAAATATCCCTAAAAAGGTATTTTAGGGTATTGTTCTATATCCTAAAAAGGTATTTTAGGGTATTGTTCTATATCCTAAAAATCTATCTAAAACTATAATATAAATGATTTAAATATAGCTTATAAAAAATATAATAAAATCATTTTTACAAAAAAAAAATCATTTAAGTTATATGCCTATTGAATTTTTATATGAATCCCTTTCTTTTTTACCTAAAAATTTCAAAACACAATATCTATAGAATTTTGAAATTTTGTGAGATAAGTCCTGTGAGAGGGTATAGAACAATACCCATTGATTTTTAAAAGTGATGGGAAAATAGTATTGCTAGTATTAGGGTTTAATGTTGGTTTGTTTGATTGTTTACCTTCCAGTCTGCTTTATATTTTTGTAAAAAAAATTGTTATAGTAATTTGTTTTTTTTAGTTTTAATTGATAGTTTAATTGATTTGTTTTGTTGAGTTTTAAATGGAGTATACATTAGAATACCTTAATTTTTTGATCGTAACAAAATTGAAACTAAAGGGTTATTAATATTAAAATCTAAATTGGCTCGTTTCTGTCTTAGACAACATGCTGTCACACTTTGTTCTATGATATCACCTAGTTATCATACTGTCACGCTATGATCTGTGATATCACCTAGTTATATATTTTCTGTCATTGTCTTGTCAGGTCTTGTTAAAAGTATTTTATAATTAGTACTGTTATATTAGCTATTATTATTTTATTGTTACTATTTTATCATTCTTATATATTTCTATTTGTTGTTATTTTATCATTCTTATTATTATTTGTTGTTATTTTATCATTCTTATATATTATCTTATTGTTATAATGCAGTTGGTTATTATCTGTAAGATAGAACTAAAGCTGAAAATGTTCGAAACTGTATACTAATCGTATATCTGAAGAAATGCATACTAAATATTTGTGTCCAAGCTTTTCGTTATTATTTTGTAATTCTTAATAACATTATTAATAAAGTATTCTTTAAACTTTGATTTAGCAAACCACAGATATACATTTTCCTTCTCAAATGTTAATTGCAATTAATAAAAATGGAGTGAATCTTATTGACCCGAGTACAAAGGTATTTTTACGTTTAAATACTTTGTGTATTATTGTTATATAACATGATTTGCTTATAAAATGAAAACTTTTATAACAGGAGTTTCTCATTACTTATCCATATACAAAGATCAGCAACTGGAGTAGTGGAAGTACGTATTTTCATATGACCATCGGTAACTTGGTTAAAGGAACAAAATTACTGTGTGAGACAAACTTGGTAAGAAATCTTTGTTTTATTGTTTTACATATTATAGTTAAAGATCTTTATCTCTTATATCTTTAACTCATCATTTAGATATCATCTCATCGCCATCTTTAACTCATCAATTACGTGCCATTGCCATCTTTAACTCATCATTAACGCGTTATCTCATCTCATTGCCATCTTGTCATGATCTCAGCTTTAGTTCTATTTTATATAGATTATTTTTAACTTATCATTTATAAGTCATTTTTAATTCATCATTTACACGTCATCACCATCTTTAACTCATCATTTACGAATAATCTCATCTCATCACCATCTTATCATCATCTCATCGTTATCATTTCATCGTCATCATTTTTAATAAATTATTTTATTACTTTTTATAAATCTTTAAATTTGTCAAAAATGAGAGGTAAAAGTTTAGTGTGTATCCTCTAGTGAATCCTCTTGTGAGGATACGCTAGAGGATACACTATCCTTTAGTGAGGAATATTGCTTATTTTCTGCGTCATATTTTAATTTATTATAAGCTTAAAAACAGTATAGTTATTTCTTATTGTTTTTTATTAACTTTTTATACAAGGGCTATAAAATGGATGATCTTATGACATCATACATTTCAAAAATGGTCTCAAATATCAACAAGAACAAGACGATGAATGGAAAAGGAACGATTTCATTTAAACGCTAAATTGTTTAAAGTTTTTCAACGTGTTACATTTTAACGTTAAATGCTAAATCAAATAAACTGAGAATCACAACCGAGATAAGTTACGATGAATCACAGCCGGGATGAGTTAAGTTGAATCGCAACCGAGATAAGTTAAGATGAATCACAGCCGAGTTGAATTGAGTTCTTTTAATTTAAGTTTATTTTTATCTATAGTGAAGGAATTTAGTGTGATTTTTTTTAACGAAAAAATATTTATATGTCAGCACATTTATAAAATTTGTATTTATTGTATTTATGTTTTTTTATATAGATTTATTTATATTTTACAGATAATTAACTAAAAACAGGTTTGTGCGTGTGTTGTATATTAAGTAACCCTTAGCAATCAACTTTTATTTTAGCTAGGAATTATAGCAGCCTTCTAGCTGTTATTAATACCTATTTCCTCGATAATTATTTTAGCTGCTAAAAAAATATATATATAATTTTTTTTTTTTTTTTAATATTTTGTTTTTTAAGTTAACACATTTTTATTTTGATTTTGATTTCTTATTTTTTAATTTGAGTATAATTTTTTCTAAAATTTGAATTTTTCGGTGCCTTTTTTTTATATATATACGCATACTTTTTATTTCCATTGATAAAAATTCATAAATATTTATAGCTCTAATACAGTTTCGAATTTAAGATTTAAAATTTCGATTTCTTTTTTACTTCGTACTCGGTGTAGTTAAGGCGATTTACAATTTACAATTCGAATTCTTTTATTTGGAATTAGCATGATTTTTTCAGCGTGTTATGTCCAAGAAGAGCTTTAGGTTTTTTCGCTTCAGGTTTTTTTAATATTTAAAGAAACTTTTATTTTATATATATATAATTTTCAAAATCTTTTTACTACACCTGATAGTAAAGAACATCACTCTAGAGTTTTTAGATCACTTTCGCTCATCGGCGTTAACATGAATTTAGTTAAAATCTTTTGAAAAAGTGTCTTAACCCACTAGATACTAGTTTTAATCGTATATTTACTATATGTAGTTGCCAAAATACAATATTTCTATCAATTTTCACAAAAAATACTAGTATTCCGATTAAGAAAGAGTATATAATTAAGAAAAATTGCCAATAAACGATCAGAACATATCATATTATGAAACTATAATGTTCATTTCACTTAAAAAGAGTGTTTATTTAAAATCTTATTTAAATTTGGACAGGCGATTGTGGTTTTAAGATTTTTTTTAAAAAAAAAATCTTTGGTCTGGTATTTTCCGCTACAAACATATTTTATGATACCACGAAGTTTATCATTTTAATTTTTTTTCGTCTTTTCATAATTCACAGGCCTGATCATTTAACGGAAATATGTTGTAGTCAACAAAATATCATACAGCCGCTATAATATTTTAAAATTGCCTTAACTACACCGAGTAGTCAAAAATCCTTATCAAATGATCTGTTACATCACGAGATCATTTTATAAAAATTGTTTATTTCATCAAAATATGCCACGCCATTCAGCTAACTTTGGCCGATACCTTCAATAGTTTTTTTTTTTTTTTTTTGCAAGTTCCAAAGAGTCGCGACAGTCTTTTGTTTCTAAGTTTTCTTACTGCCGAGTTTTTGCAAATTACAAAAGTTAAAACACTATATCATCTATATAAAATGTTAAATACGATGCAAACTGATCTAATTATCAATTAAAACTTACGCGTTATCCAGTTAAAATGGTCCTCAATTGTTGTTAAAAAAATTAGATGTTTCAATGGACCCGTTTAAATAGTATCCACTTTTATAAAGATTATAAACGTTCGGGGGAAATCGATGTTCGAGGGCAAAAATAAGTTTTTGAACACTAATAAATTGTCTATGGTAAAAGTTTGATCGTAATTATTTGACATGTTTTTAAAACCGAAGCTGGAAAAACCAGAACACTCCAAAAACATTAAAATTAATCAAAGAAAAATGATAGAGCAAGACCGTATGATGGTTAGCAGCGTTAATCTAACCAGAAAAATAATATATATTTATTTATAAATTGTAATAAATGTTTTTAGGCTTTGCTTTTACCTTACCGCCTCGCAAAAGTTTTAAGTTTTTGTTCTAAACATAAAACAACTAAAGAGTTTAAAAATTGTCGTGACACAGTAGTTTGAAAACAAAGATGTTCGTGATTCTAGCAAGCGTCATAGGTAAGAAAGGAGGTCTGGTTAAATGCTTCTCCGCGGCGCTCTCTGATAAGACCGATATGACTTCTTGGAGCACCTATCTATCTTTAAAAAAGCATAGATAAAATAAACCCTCTATGTAGTGATAAAGGTTTAAGGTAATACACCTAAATAATTACGGTGCAAACAAAAGCTTGAGTTTTTTAAATATACAATATTAAATCATAGTCATAAGAAATAGATAGTAGGGTGGGCCGAAAAATTTTTCTTTCTGATTTTTGATTCGCTATACCGCAGAAAACATGCTTCAAGGGTATCTAAGGAAAATGCAAAAAAATAATAACAATATTTTACATCTGGAGTTAGCGCAAGTTAGTACTTGAATATTTGAATAAATATTTGCTTTTTATCATTTTCGTAACCAAGTGCGCTTTAGAGTATTCCCAAAATACGCTGCAAAATTGGTGTTTTTCTTGCCACAACAACTAGTTTTAATATAATTTTGTTTTGAATAATTGTTAATATTAACCAATCTGTGATGGTTGTTTTTGAAAAAAATTACTCGTAGCGAATTTAAGTACCCGATTTTTGGTCATCCAATAGAACAATCTGCAAATAAACTTCCAACTTATGAAGAAGTACTCAAGTGTTGTTTTAATGAAAATTACAAACTAGCCTTGAAATCAAACAACGAACCAGTTAAGTTTTCTTATGTTTCAAATTGTGTCGTACAACAAGTTAAATCAGTGTTTGATAAAACTTCAATACCCGCAGTAACAATTTACGTTTGTCCAACTAATAAATGGATACCATGACAGTTATCGCAACCTAATGAAATCCTTCATGATAAAGATAAAGAAAAAGGAAAGTTCAAAAAGAGAGTTGAAGATTTTAAAACAAAACAATTTTATTGTTTGATGTCTCGGCGTCTAAGTGTAAAATAACATTAGACTGCAAATGTAAAATGGTAACTGAAATTTGTGAATACGAGTGTTCTGTTTTAATTATCTGTACTAGCAAAAGGCAACCCGTAATACGGGTTTCGGTCGGTCTGTTACATAATTAATTTATAGTAGCTGTTTTCCACAATTTAATCTTGCAAAACCTTAACTAATACCCTTTTAGAAAATTGCCTTCAGCTTGAAAAAATTAATCCATCTGTAAAATTAACATAAAAATTATGAGGAGGTAAAATAATTTACCAACTACTACTTAACATTATTAAGTAATTTACAAATGGCACAGGTCATAACAGTGTAAGGCAGAACCATTTTCATCGACCTTCCTAAGTTTAACACAATACGTTTTTAGTTACTGACGCAAAATAATAACACTTGGTTATACTTTAAATTGACGAAAGTGTCAACTAAATCCTTGTAATAATTTTTATAACACGAACCATTAAGATTAAAATGAAGTTAACTTATATTATACAGGAGTTATCAATTTTTTGCTATCCCCTTGATTAATTGTTCTTTAGAAAAGAAAATTGTTAACTCAAAAATGTTAAATGCACACGTTTAAATAAATTTATAAAAAATAACAAAGTTTATTATAACTACGCAACTGAGTACAAATACCTTTCAAACGAAAAAAAATTTAATTTACGATCAAACATAGGTATAACAAATTTTTTAATACATTAAGCTATCATAGCACAAACTAAAATAAAAATTATAAGAGATAAGTAGACATAAAAATTTGTAAGCCAAGCTGACCCGACCCGGGTCTTGTTAAGTCTGTTCAACACAGACCATTTGTATATTATTTATTTGGCCTCTTTATTTCATTAAATTATTAGTAAACGGTAATTTGCCACCATTTACTAAAAATTCCTTTTGTAACTCGAAATTTAATTTTTCTAAATATTTTGGCTCTAATAAAGAGGTTCCTTCCCTCTTTTTGCTTTAATGGTGGCCTGGTGAATAAAATAAAATATTAAAATGTAAAACAACGATCTACTTATATAAAAATGTTTTCTTTCTTTCCTCAAAAGTGTTGCAAATACAGACTAAGCTAACTAATTAGTTAAACACATAAATAAAACTTAAGTAACTCGATATTAATGCGCAAAACTACAATATTCTCCATATTTTTAAAGGTTTTTAGTTACGACCGCCCATTCAACCCATACGACCCCCCAGTCAATTCTCTCTCTACAATTCTCAATACTAATTCTTATTTAAGTCTCATCTAAAAGAGAGAGAGGAAGTGTTTTAAAAACACCATGTTAGAAAAAGTAAAAAAGTCATGCAATAAATAACAGTAACTGGTTTTATTATGCTACCAATAAACAAAACTATTTTTACCTTAACTAAAAGTTAATTTCCAGCATTTCTTAATTAATTTCCAGCTTCTCTCTAACTGTTGACAAATGATTAATATTGTAAATTTCACATCATATTAAATTTACAAAATTAAAACCATGTTTCAACAGTAAGCAAAATAATCAAGTGATGACAAAGACAACTAAAAAAAAAACGAACAATTATATTAAGATTATAAAAGTAAAACTAAAAAAAAAAAGAAAAAAAAAAAAAAAACCATTTAAAACTGAAATTTTTATTATTTGTTACTATAAATTGTAAAATTCATACTTTGCTTTATTTTAAAGTGTCTAATGTAAAGTCAAATAATAGACATCAACAGCGCTTGACACTGAATTCTGCCAAGTAAGTTTTTGGTTCATCAAGCAAAATTTCTTATATTTCAACGACAATTAATTTTATCATGCCTAGATCTATTTCTTTCATATGACAACAATTTCAAGTCACCTATAACCATTTACACTAATAACTTCTTCGAGCCTAATATTATAAATCTGTTATCATTAAATATATATTACCAGTGGTTATGCTACTGTTACAACTGAATAAATGAACGTTTTATATTTTACAACTGAAAAATATAAAACAAAATTTATTTACATTATTTTAATTTAGCAAAGAATTTAGAACACAGTGCAAAGTTATTTGCATTGTGTTCTAAATTCTTTGCTAAATTAAGAAAGCCTTCAGGCACAATCTTAATGCACAAAAATAATAAATGCAGAATCTTGTATAAAAAATGAAGCAATGTCAGTCTAAAGTAATATATATGTATG